AGGCCCTTGTGCTTGCCAGGGAAGTGCTTATTCTACTGAGCCATCTCTCCTGCCCAACATTTTCATGTTAATTTGATTGTATCAACCTTTTCAGGTACCATCGTTTGCCATGCTCTTTCTCCCTCTGGTTTCTTTCCCCTTCCCAAATAGTCTCTCTTCTTTCACTTCTCCTTTTTCTTCTTTGTTGGTTTTTTTTTAGTTTCCATTTGTGAGAAGAAACATGGAGTACTTGCCCTTTTGCATCTGGCTTATTTTGTTTTACACGACAAACTTTAGTGCCACCCATTTTTCTGCAAATGACATGATTTTCTTCCTTACCGATGAATAGTACTCCATTGTGTATATGTACCACATTCTCCTTATTCAGTTACTTATGGACACTGAGGCTGATTCTGTAACTTAACAGTTATTGACAGTGATGCAATGAATACAGGTAAGCAGTTATCTTTTCTGTATTCTGACTTTATACCATGGGTGTATACTTGGAGGTAGTGTAGCTGAATCATGTCATAGTTCTAGTCCTAGTTTTATGAGGAATTTCCATCCTGTTGTCCACAGTGGATGTTCTAGTTTGTGTTCCCAACAGCAGTGTGCAAGGGATCTTTTCTCCACATTCTTGTTAGCATTCATGCTCTGTTTTCTTGATAATAGCCAATCTGACTGAGGTGAGAAAGAATTCTCACATATTTTTATTTGCATTTTCATGATAACTAAATTTTTGTACATTTATTGACTATTCTTTGAGAACTGTCTGTACAGATCATTTCCTATTTATTTATTAGATTGTTTTTTTTGTTGATAATTTTTTGAGTTCTTCATGTGTTTTTGAAATTAATCCTCTATCAGATGACTAGCTGCCAAAGATCTCTCTCACTATGTAGGCTGCCTCTTCACTCTTTCTGTTGTTTTCTGGTATTTATAAAATTCTCAATTTCATGTGATCTCATTTGTTAATTCTTGCAACTATTTCCTAAACTTTCAGAGAGCTAGTCACAAAATAGTTGTTTTTGCCTGTATCTCAGTGTTTGTTTTCCTTAATAGTTTCCAAGTTTGAGGTCTTACATTAAGGCCTTTGATTTATTTTTAGATGATTTTTTGTATAGGATAAGAGATAATGCCCTCCTTTTAGTCTTCTGCATGTGGATATTGAGTTTCCCAGGACCACTAAGGATCATTCTATCTTCACTGTGCTTTGGGGCACCTTTGTCAGGAATCATTTCACTGTAGGTAGCTGGGTCTATTTCAAATCCTGGAAGTAAATGACTTCCAGCCCAGATTCCTATATCCAGGCAACTGTGTCCTTTAAAGATGAAAGAGAAGGATGCTGCAAGGTAAGTATGAGCTGAGGGCATTTGTGACCACTAATCTAGCATCATGGAGGAAACTGGAAGGAATCCTGCACTCACTCAGAAGAAGAATCGAGATAAATGCTATCACAAGAGCATGAGAAAGAATAAGTTTCAATGGAAAAGGAGAAAAGCAAATTTTAAAAACACATATTAAAAATATTTTTTAAGAATAGATTTGACTATGAATCCATCTGAAGTTAGTTTGGGAATGTGATATAAGTTTTCTAAATTTAACATTGGTCTTTGTTTGTTTCAAGAATTGTCATTTCCTACATTTACTATCTTTCAAAGCAGTTATTTAACCACACAAAGAGGCATTAAGGGAACGTGTTTGGTGTATTCCTTAGTTGAGAAGCAAGATGAAAAATAACTCATTGTACATTAAAACAAATCAGGGCCCACAAGCTGCAAACAACTGGCTAAGTGCCAAGCAAGAAGTAGAGATTCAAGACATGGATCCTACCATCCAGGAGCACAGCCTCTGTCCCTGCTCACCAGCTCTGACCTGTGTACCACGTGCCCACATATCAATTATTTTATATCTCTCTCTGCATTACACATACATCAGACAAAGGTGCACATAAGATGATTTCTAATGTTCTATGTCCTAGAGCTTACTGAAAATTATTCTGGGAATATTAGGTTATATGTGATACTTAGTTCCTACTTATATTATTTAAGAAGTCTGCATTGATGATGTAATTAGGATCCAGTATAACACTTGCCGATTTCTTAGGTTATTAAGTGCAAAGCCGCTGTGCTGTGGGAAATGAATAAGCCCTTCTCTGTTGAAGAGATAGAAGTTGGCCCACCAAAGGCTAAAGAAGTTCACATTAAGGTGAGAAAGGATCTTAGAATGTATAATCCTGTTTTGCAGTCACATTTGTATTAAATCATGATTGTGAAGTGGATTTCTAAATAGGAGATGTTTGCCGAACTCTGGTCTTTAACTCTCATATTACTTATTGTATAACATTAGGGAAACAATCATTTTGGCTGTGAAATTAATGAGCTGATCATCTATTATTAAAAAAAAATCCCCCACTTTATTAAAGTATTCATCTCTTGAATTTTTTATATAATTCTTTTAAAAAATTACTTATTATTTGGTACAGGTTCTAGTTATGCAGATTGGACTCATAATGATCCTCCTGTCTCAGCCTCTCCAGCGCTGGGATTACAGGCATGCACCAACATGCCCAGTTTTCAGTGGCTGGCTCGGGGCCCAGGGCTAGCATATTGTGTGGTACTGGGCATCCAAAGCAGATCCTTGTGCTTTGGGGAAGTGCTTAGAATGCTGACTATCTCTCTAGGCACCATCTGTTGAATTTTTTAAATGAAATGTTTGATTAAAAATGGTTACTAGCCAGGACTAATGATTTACTTTAAAATACTATAAAAAACTGATTTTATCAAGATTACCTTTTTAAAAATAACAAAAAATTCCTTTCGGCCTGAGAAGAGGCAGCTCTGCACAGAGCCTGACTTTGGGTGTGGACCCTTGTGTTGGGTGGACATTCCTGCCAGGCTTTGACTCTCTGCTGTTGCCAGAACACTTGCACTCAGGGTCTTTACCCCTCACTTACTTTTTTGCATGCTGCTTCTGGTATTTCATAAGAGAGCCATGGAAAGCCAAGCTACAAAGCACACTTTCCCATAGCCTCTGGCTGGCCACACACTTTCCTTTCAGCCTCACGGTGACATCTTTACTGTGGCTCCTTCGCAGGGGTGTTTGCTGACCTCAGAAGGTTGATTTTAGGCTTGGTATTGTCTAGGAGTCAGCATTATCACATCAGACAGTGCTATGAAATAGACAATTATAATCTCGTCAATAGCAAGCTAAATATGGACAACACTAAACTGGACAATTTCTTGGTTGGTGAAATGTTCTTTTTTGAATACAGATTTTGGCCACAGAAATCTGTCACACAGATGACCATGTGATAAAAGGAACAATGATATCTAAGTTTCC